ACTGATTTGTTACACGAGTCGGATTTTCTATTTTATATATGTAATTACACTTCCTGTGACATATCGTTTGACTGATAAGGGAAATGTTTTTGTAAAAAAATGCATTTTTGAACAAATAACGAAATCGTTATTTTTTTGAAATTTAATTGAGTGGCGCAGCAATAGGTGGTCTTTAGACAGAGCCAACCAATAGAGAGAGTGAACTGTACGCGCAACTATTTATAGTAATGCTAATCCGAGTTAGGTAAATCAAAAAATAATTTATGTAACCTTATTGGCGATCCTATGGCACTTGCCGTATGTCATATGCGGTATGTCGTAACCCTCAATATGTTTGCACCCTTAATTTTGAACCCTGAGTCATTAACAATAAAACTTATTGGTTAACTTTTTATTTATAAAAATTTTGTTGTCGAACCAAAAAGGGTAAAATCAAGGTTTATGGCTAATTCTATTAATAATAATAAAAGTCCGATGTCGATCACTTAAACATTTCAGAAAAAATCGTGCGTTCCAAAAAAAAACCTGCTTTCGGAAAATTTCTGTAATATTTTTGCGCCCTAGCTACAATACACAGTATTCACTATTGAAAATTACATACGTGTAAGCAATAAATTCGTACTACGACAAAAATTGGCGCATATTAATATTAAAACTAAAATGCTGTAAAAATTTTGTTACCTACAATTCATCCGTGGAAATTTGTGGGTGGTTGGCACTAACCAAATTTGAAAATTATCGGTAAATCAAGTTATTTTCAAGAACATTATCATGTATATCTTCATCGCAAAGAATCTATTTTATTTAATAATAACAAATTTGGAGTTTGTATATATGCGAGTTATTGTAAAACCATATATTTTAAATCCGCCCATATTAATATGGTATGGTAATTACAATTTTGACGTGGCGTTAAGTCAAATCTGTGAAACCTGAACAGTATTGGATTGGATAGTTAGGCCATATTGTTACACCTCATCGTTATGACCAATTTAATGATCTGACCCATTTCTATTTATGTTGCATGCATGATTATTTATAATTTGATTTATTGGTTCGGTATCTTAGTAAGCAGGTGATGATGAATGGATGAAAAAATTGCGGGGAGAACACTTTTGTTGTTTTGTAAACCAACTTTAGTGGATATCCAAGTTGGATTATTTATTTATTTATTTATTTATTAAAGCAATTTTGGTAAATAAGCAAATGAACCTTGAAAGAGAGAGAGGAGGGGGGAGATGAAGAGAGAGGAAAAAAAATTTTTAAACTGAAGCTTTAATTGGAATTAAAATATTAAAAATAAATTTTTTTAAGACGTGTCATATAAATAAATAAATAATAAATAATAAGGTTTAATGATTATCAATCAATGTGATAGGTAATTGGTTAGAATTTGTGTGCGTGGAGAACAATAAAAGAAATTCTCACGTGTGGTTTAAAATAATAAAATAAATAATAAATATTGATCAAAATTATTTTGTACATTGTTTATATTGTTTACGTATGTACTTGAGAACTTTTCATTAAAATCGACTTACATTCACTGGTAGCCATGCATCATTACTTATTTGTGATATAATAAATAAAATAAATAAATAATGATGCAGGGCCTCAAGACATAAATAATTAACGCCCGATTTTATTTATATAAATATTTAGCTGGTTAGACTCTTAGAAAATTGTTTTTCGGTCGTTAACGCGAAATTTACTATTTACACTCTATCATTCAATCTATATCATATATATATATATATATCTACTTCGTTGTGTCATTTTTGCCATAATTATTCATTAAGTTTTTTTTCGAATCGTATTTTAAACATTACAAACAATAATTTGTAAGTTGTTTTTCTATTTTGTTTCTTTTTTAAATCATTGAAATAATATTTTTTAAAGAAATAATATTAACATCTTCGACATCGTTATTTGTTGTAAATTCCAGCGAACGAATTTCGTCTTCTTTTTGATTAAAATGAAATGATGTTTTTTCCAATGCTTACTTTTTGCAAATTATGATGGTTAACGAAAACCGCAAAATCCGATCGATTGATCAATACCAGAGTTAAAGTCTTGGTGATTGATCGATTAGTTGGTGTAAGATAGTTATTAAAATATGATTTAGGGAGGTTGAATTTAATATGAAATAGAAAATTATGTTTTCACTTTAAATCTTTTTCTTCTCTTTATTCTCTTTTTCTCTTTATTCTCCTTTTTCTCTTTATTCTTTTTCTCTCTTAAGTTTGTTACTTCTATCTTAATATATGCAAAGTCATTACTATAGATATATTCATGTATGTGCGATTATGGAATATGTACGTTTTTTATGGGATAACAATGTTTAGACTTTTTTTTTGAGGGAAAAAAAAAAGTCGGGAAAAACTTCTGACGGATCGTGTTATTAACTTTTTTTATATGAACCTTTTTTCTAGTTTATTCAAAAAAAAATCAAAGTTCTTTTTCTTTTCTTCTTTCTACAGAAGAGAGAATTTTCTTTCTATTTATTTAATTTTATACATAGTTTTTTTTTGTTTTTTGCTTTTTCGAGAGATTACAACGAATAAATAAAATGCTGTTATTCACGTGTTAGAATCCTATTTTGACAAGTCTAATTTGTGTTTATTTTTTCATTTGACATATTTGTTAGTATTAGGGTGATAGAGTGGTTTTCAGGGGTTCTTGCTGAAATAATAATTACGTCATTTGTTCCCTCCCAGTTTTTTCTTTGCTGAGAAAAAAGTTCTGTGCAAAAAAATTATTTGATTTTATTTATTTACTATTAATTAACATACATATACATATATAAAATGTCATCTAAAAAGAAAGGTAATTTAATCAAGAAACATTTCTTTTTATTATTTCCCTATTTATCTAACCAACAAACCAATCAACTAATTATTTTTATTTTTATAGGTCCAAGTCAGGTTTGTTGTTGTTTGATTTATTTATGATTTTTATTCTATCTATTTCATAAAATATAACTTTTAATTACATCCATTATCTATCTATCCATACATTTATATATAAATATAGGCAGAATTAATGGTGAAAACATGTTCAGAAATAATTAAGGAATTAATAATAGCACATGAACAGGGAAAAGATATTAATTTGAATGGATTAAAAACAAAGTATTCAAGGTTAAACAAGTTGAATAATCAACCAAAATTGGTTGATATTATATCTGCAATACCTGATCAGTATAAGAATTTTTTGTTACCAAAGTTAAAGGCTAAACCTGTCAGGACTGCATCTGGCGCAAGTATCATAAACAAAGATCAATTGATGAATTAATTAGCAACCCTGTTAATTAATGAAACTATATATAAACTTTATTTGTTTAGATTGCCGTTGTGGCTGTTATGTGTAAACCACACAGATGTCCCCATATTGCAGTAACAGGAAATGTTTGTGTGTAAGCAACTTTTGAAGATAATCTGTATTATAATAATTATTTATAATAATAACAATCATAATCATAATAATATTATTATTATAAAAGATATTGTCCAGGTGGACCAGATTCAGATTTTGAATATTCAACACAATCTTATACAGGATATGAACCAACCAGTATGAGAGCTATTAGAGCAAGATATGATCCATTAGAACAAGCAAGGGGTAGACTTGATCAATTAAAAAGTTTAGGACACAGTGTTGATAAAGTAAAAAATCATTAATTATTAATTCGGGTTTTATTACTTTTTTTAAAAAAAGAATATTTAATTAATTAATCATTATAATTAATTATTAGGTTGAATATATTATAATGGGTGGTACATTCATGTCGTTATCAGAAGATTATAGAAGTTGGTTTATTTCTAATTTACATAATGCATTATCTGGACATACTTCAAATGATGTTGATGAATCTGTCAAGTAATTGTAACAACAACAATGATAATAATAATAGTATTGTTATTTAATAATTGGTTATTTTAGGAATATTAATTAATTAATTATGATTATGATTATTAAGATATTCTGAACAAAGTATGATGAAATGTATTGGCATAACTATAGAAACTAGACCTGACTATTGTTTAAAACCACATTTAAGGTTTTTTAACTATATTAATTATTCATTCTAAATAATAATTCAATTCATTCATTCACACAATCATTTATTCATTCATTATTTATTAAATAATTCAATATAAACTAATTTACCAATTAGTCAAATGTTAAGATATGGATGCACAAGATTAGAAATAGGAGTTCAAAGCATATATGAAGATGTTGCTAGAGATACGAATAGAGGTCATACTGTTAAAGCTGTCACGGAAACTTTTCAATTGGCAAAAGATGCAGGATTTAAAGTTGTTTCACACATGATGCCTGATCTGCCGAATGTTGGAATGGAAAGGGATCTAGAACAATTTAAGGTTTATAAAGAAACAATTATCATTTCAAATAATTTATTTGGCTAGGTAATTGTTTATTATCGATATTTATTTAGTTATTATTAAATTAATTAATTCATTAATAGGAATATTTTGAGAATCCTGCATTTAGAACAGATGGGCTAAAAATCTATCCCACACTAGTAATTCGTGGAACTGGTTTGTTTTACATATTTTATTTCATATTCATGTTTGATTTTAATTTAATTAAAAATCCCTCCTATATATATATATAGGCTTATACGAATTATGGAGAACTGGTAGATACAAAAATTATACACCTAATGCATTAATTGATCTTGTAGCAAGAATTTTGGCTCTTGTACCTCCTTGGACACGTATTTATAGGGTTCAAAGGTAATGTATATAATACCAATAATTACATTATTCCATTATATATTTTACATATTTACATATTATATTATAAATAGAGATATTCCCATGCCTTTAGTTACATCAGGAGTTGAACATGGTAATTTAAGAGAATTGGCATTGAACAGAATGAAAGATTTGGGCATTGAATGTAGAGATGTTAGAACAAGAGAAGTTGGTATAGTGGATATACATAATAAAGTTAAACCTGAAGAAGTAATATGTATTTCTCTGAATAGGTCGATTCTAATTAATTATTTAGTTGCCAACTAAAAATATTATTATTATCTTTAGGTTGAATTGATTAGAAGAGATTATGTGGCAAATGGTGGTTGGGAGACATTTTTATCATACGAAGATCCAAAACAAGACATTCTGATAGGTTTATTAAGACTAAGAAAATGTAATCCTGACACAACATTTAGACCTGAATTAACTAAAGTGCCAACTAGTATAGTAAGAGAATTACATGTTTATGGTAGCGTTGTCCCATTGCATAGTCGTGATCCAATAAAATTTCAACATCAGGGTTTTGGCACTTTGTTGATGGAGGAGGCTGAACGTATTGCCAAATATGAACATTGTAGTCAAAAAATGGCTGTGATTAGTGGTGTTGGAGTCAGAAAATATTATAGTAAACTAGGTTATGAATTGGATGGTGAGTGTGAATATTATTGTATTATATTAGATATAATAGATAACAATAGTGGTAGTAATATTTATTAATATATTTATTTATATTTAGGTCCTTATATGTCTAAAATGTTGATTTAAAAATTTCATGTACATTAAATTAAATAAAAAATCGCAAAAATAATTTACAATAATTTTGTTATGATTTTTTTTTTCTCTTTTGCATATTAATTATTATATATATATATATGCATTATAAAAAATTATTAATTAAATTAAACATTTAATTTTTTTAATTGTTCTTTGAGTATATTTAAAACAAATTTTTCATGATTCAAAATCACAGTTTCTTCTTCAGTCATTCTTCTAACTTGCGACCAGCATTGATCAATCTCTTGTAATTCATTCCAAAACAAGTTCTCATCATCATTACCATCACCATTATTGTTATCACCGTCTGTGCCTGCTATCACCTGTAATGATTTTAACCATTGTGATTCGTAATGATTTTTAGCAAATGTTTCAGAATTTAATTGAATCTTAAGTTGTTCGATTTCTTTTTTCAGATCTTTAACCAATTCTTCATTATTCGCATTAGATTTTATTAAAAGTTTTTCTTTTTCATAATTTTTTTCCAATTCTGTTCTTTTCATTTCAAATTGTCTATCAAGTTCCAACCATCGATATTTGATGTCTTTCTCACCACGTTGTAAACTTTCATCTCTTGTTTGAAAATAAAGAATTGATTGTTGTAATTGTTGATCTATTGCTTTCAATTGTTGTATTTTGAATTTTGCAAAACCAAGTTTTTTACTATTTTTTTTATTTCCTGAAAGAACTTTTTGAGTAAATCTTATATGTTCATCTGCTTGCTTAAATATTTCTGTACGGAAAGTATTATTATTGTTGTTGTTGTTGTTGTTGTTGTTGTTGTTGTTGTTGTTGCTTTCACTTAATGAAACTTGTGATGAAGTATCATTACTATCGTTATTTTCATTATCATTGTTATTATCATTATCATCGTCGTTAGTATTATTATTATTATTATCATCATTATCATTATCATATAATTCAGATCTATTATTATTATTCCTGTTACTGCTATTGCTATTATTATTGCTGCTATTGTTATTTCTTCTTTCGATTTGATCTTTTTCGCCGTAATCATCAAGTCTTATTGAAACATTAATATGTCCCATTTCTCTTGATGTAGTCAAACCAACAGATTTTATTGGAGCCAAAGTGCTAAATTTTTTAACATCGGCTTTACCATCTTCATCTTTAGTTGTTTGTGATAAAAATACTTCCTCTAATCGTAGATTTGCAACTCCAATTTGTATATCATTTTTTTGATCTACTATAGTTTGCGTTTGCTGTTGTTGTTGCCATACTTCCATTAACAAAGGCGCAACTTCAAAGTATCTTTGTAGACGTTGATGTGTCATTGTAACGTCAATCGTATTGGTGCCACTAATCAATTTCACATCTTGATTCGGTTCGATAATAGGGGAATGTGATTGTGTGAATTTATTATGCGTTATTCCTAAAGATGGATAACTATATTTAATATAAATGTTTTTGAATGATTTGTTTAGGTTAATGGATTCCAAATCAATTACAACTCGAAATTTATGTTCATTATTTTGTTCACGGATAACATTATTATTATTGCCCAATGAAAAGGTTCTGATCTTGTCTGAAATAGCCGATGAGGAATTTGTTTTTATATGATCACTATTAATGCTGTTGGTGCTATTAATGTTATTATTATTACTATTACCATTTAAAACTGTTGTTGCCAAGGATGATGATGGTGACGATGATGATGACGATGATGATGATAAATTGTAGCTATTAACATCATTAACATGATTGAGGTTATTATTATCATTCTCAATCCGTTTTATAGTAAGAAAAAGTCCGATTCTAGCAGTTTGTACATCAGCAGAAACGGGCATTTCTCTTTTAGCATTATACATAGGACAAACCCTATCCAAAGAACGAGGTTCACCAGTTTTAGAGTCAAATAAACCTGTCAATGGTATATCAGTAAAACCAACCATCATTTGATTATTATTATTATTGTTGTTGTTATTGTTTATATAATAATATAAATAAATCGCCAATTTATTTTTTTCTTGAATCATAAAATCTTTTAATTCTTCTGGTGAAGATTGAATTTTAAATGTTGTGGTCTCAGGTCTAATATTAGGATGTGCAAGATCATAAAATTTATTTGATGTTACTGTAGCATCTAAAATTGTATATTGAAAAAAGTAACCGTCATGGTGATTCAGAGTTGCTGTTGCAGTTGAAGTTGACGATGATGGTGATGAGAGGCCGTCATCATTGTCAAGATCAGGAAATTGTTGGTGTTGTTGTGAAAGAAATGACGCGATACAATCTTGTAATAATAATAATTGAAGATTAGCCCCAAAATTTATTGTTATAGAAAAATGAAATAAATCTTTTCCATTTTTGCCAATTTTATAATAATCTTTAACATCAGTATTATTATTATTATCATCATCATTAATAAAATCATTATTGTTATTACTGTTATTATGATTATTAATGTTTGTTGTTAAAGATTTTTGTAAAGTTGTATTTAATAACGATGATGATGATGGTAATGGTGATGGTAGTGTTGGTGATTGTGTTGATAATAATGGTATATCACCCACAAATTTACTCGGTATTGGGCTGGCCACATAATTAGTAGTAATGGGAGTAGATGGGGGAGATATATTTGACAAAATACAAAAACTTATTTTTATTTCGGGAGGTAATCCATGAGATCTAGAATTTAATAGGGAGATCCATTTCTCTTTCCCAGGCCTGTCAGCAGCAGCTCTTAAGTCCAACATTGAATAACCAATTAACTCAGTTTTATCACTGGATGGCGTTGCTGCTGCTGCTGCTGTTGTTGTTGATGATGATGATGAATCTATAGTTGTAGTTGTAGTAGTCGTGGAAAAACATTGTAATTTCAAATGCGCCCATTGTAAACGTAAAGTATGTAGAGTTTTTTGATCAACTTCCCATGCAAGTTCAGTGTCCCATATTGGAAAAGAACTTTGATCGACAGAATCAGTCGATAAGATTGAATTTGAATCAGGGCTTATTGTTGATAATACTTCATCTGTAAATCTACATTCAACAAAAAGTTTTGCGTTAGGATTTTGTGGAAAATATTTACCTAGTAACAGATAAATGTATAATTGTGTGAATGGATATATAGATGGATGTGGATTGATGAATTATTCATTTATTTAATTAATCAAGAAAATAATAATCGATTTAAATAATTAATCAATTTTTTAGTTATAATAAACTTCTTTCTTTTTTACCTTCAATTATTGTAACAATAATTGTACATAAAGGATTAAATTTTGACATTGAAAAAAAAAGATAATATGCTGAATTAATCTTTCTTACCTTTTAGCTGAAATTCTTCAGCCAATCAGAACTGAAGATATAAAATTCATAAATTCATTAATATTAAATTTCATACAAAATTTTATTAATACAATAAATAAAAAAAATGTCTTCGAGTAGTAATATGTTAGCAAGTAAATTTAAAAGTTTTCTTAATCATGAAGCAGGTACGTTCCTATTTTATTTATTTACTTTTTATTTATATCTCTAGACTTCTACAATTGCATGATCTATAAAAAAATGTCGATTTATTCATTCGCCAATTTTCTTTAACACACATATATAATATTATTATTATTCCCAACAGGTCCAAAAACTGTTCATTTTTGGGCACCAGCGTTTAAATGGGTTGGTTTTTTTTATATATAACAGCAAAACAACAATAACAATAATAATATTACTGTCATTTTTAAAATTTCTTCCAGATCAATTAAATTGAATTCTTGACTGATCATAAATTTTTCTTTAATTGATAATAAAAAAAAGGGGTTGGTTATAGCAGGTATAAGTGACATGAAACGTCCTGCAGAGAAGTTATCAGTATCTCAAAACGTTGGTAAGTATAATAATCAATAATTGATGAATAAATAGATAGGAGAAAAGAAAACTTATTATTATTATTATTATTATTACTAAATGAATAGATAGAATTATCAACTACTATTAATAACATTATTATTATCAATACTATTATTAATAGCTCTTACAGCAACTGGATTAATTTGGTCACGATATGCTACTCAAATTAAACCAAAAAATTATCCATTATTATCTGTGAATGCTTTCCTTGCAGCCACAGGATTAATACAATTGTATAGGATATGGGAGTAAGTTGATATTATTGGTTTTATGTGCATAAGGGAGAGTATATGCGTGGTTTTTGATTAATTATATTTTTATTTTTATAAAAAAAAAACCCCCGATATTTTTTTAGTTATCGTCAAGAATTAGTAAAGCATCAAACAAAATCAACAGTACTTTCATCTTAATCAACTGAAAAGTCGAAAATTTTTTTTTATTTTTTGTTTTTTTACATGCTAATAAATATTTATTTAATTAAATGACATTGACAACATTTGAGCAGACTGCAACAAAATGATGAGCAATATTATATGATGATGATATATTTGTAATAATAATTGATGATTCCAAAGAGTTCAATAAAACTATATAATTTATATAACTAATTTAAAAACCCTAGATCTCAATATTTTTTATTGATATTATTTTGAAAAAAAAATCATATCACAATGTCCTAATTTTTATAAAAAAAGTCTCGATGAAGCTATTACTTGTTGATTAAAAAATATTGATTAGCTGTTTTGGCAACTTTCTGGCCTACTTGATTAATTCGGCAATTGACATAAGTGGCCAAATTTGAAAATTATATATGAGCATGTGTAACGTTGTTAGATCCACAAATCACATAATATTTTTTTAATTACAGAAGTTTTTTACAGTTTTTTACTCAAAAAATTATTCATTATTTTCATTATTAAAAATATTATGGGTTACTTTTCTATGAGATTTATATTGCTTAATTGCAAATTTTGCTTGCTCACCTGTAAGCCCTATAAGCATCCATGTAATGAAAAGAATGTCTAGCATATTTCCTAATATGCTCCAATGATACAGGATCTAATGCTTTTGGAACCACCTTTTTCAATTCATTCCAAGAATAATTACAATTATTTCTTGCATATCATTTGGCTTCTCCCCAATATCTCAATAAAATTGAAATTTTGGGTAAAATAGTGATGTTAGCCGGCTAATAATCTGTATACATAATTTCTAAATTTGGTAATAAATTTCCGTATTACCTTCTGGTTATGGAAATAGAATTACCAATTTAGGTAGTAAACGGCTTAGCCGGCTAAGGATTTTTAAACGGCTAACATCACTAGGGTAAAATATTACTTTGTGACTCCTCTGCTCAATTATTTCTTGAATTAATGGTTTTTGAGCTAGAAAATCAGGCTGGGCTTCCAGAATAACAATCATTATTTCATTTGAATCATTACCACAAAATGCTCGTAACCAATCTCTCCATAAATTTCTCTCTTGCGAAACAATATGCATACTTTTTGGTTGACCATCTGGAAACACCATTTTTTGAACTTGATTATTAAATACAGTATCTCTCAATTTATGTTGCTTACCTCC